ATCGTCTAATTATCTTTATCGATAAAATCACAGAAAATATTGATAATTATTTTTTGTCAATATTGTACACCCCTAGTACTGACAAAATGATTTGCAACGGTTGCTTTGTCACGCCCAGTGTAGACAGCCTCAAACTGTTAGTTTATTTCTGTCTCTTTTTTTTTGGCTAGTAGAAGTTATGAATGGCCGGTAACTTAAAAATTTAGTAGCCAAATTGGCTGGTGAGTGAAGAAGTTAATTTCAATCCCTGCATACAAACAATCAATTCCAAAAATAAATACAAAACTAGTGCTAATTGAAAGAAAACAAGTTGACAAAAAGATTGAATACAAGATTGGGTGATAATATAGCATAATAAGAGATTTACATGTAATTTTACAAGGCCATCATTTTTTGACTGGTAAAGGATTTTTAGCACAGCACAAGGGTTAAATGCTTGAGCTCTTTAAAGCAGGATGGAATATTGTTCTTTTGTGTCGTTATTGTTATAGTTGTGTTGTGGGCTTCTCTTTTCTCGTAGGATTAGAACAATTTTTAAAACCTGAACCTTACTTTTTTTTTCTCGCAGGTTTTTACATATCTGTAGCTACAGGAAATCTGAAGCTTGGAAGCCACCAGTGGAAGTAGATGAGGGATATAGTCACACTTCAGCAGTTTTGTGTGGGAGGTTGCAAGCTTCTGTGATTATCACACATGAAGTAGTGCAGAGAGAAATCTCCCATAGAAAAGTAAAAAAAATTCTTTAAAGGGGTCATATGATGCTTTTTTAAAGATCATTATTTTGTGTATTTGGTGTAACAGAATATGTTGACATGCTTTAATGTTCAAAAAACACATTATTTTTCAAATGCTGTACATTATTTTAGGTCCTCTATGCCCCACCTCTCTCAAACGCTTCGTTTTCTACAAAGTCCCTCCTTCCGACAAGCGCAGTCTGCTCTGATTGGCCAGCTGACCCAGTGCATTGTGATTGGCCGAACACCGCAAGCACTCGTCGGAAATGTAACACCCCTTACCATAATCGCGAGCTTTATCTTTGAAAATAAATGTAAAGACAGTAAATAATGTCATTAGTTTTACCATCAGTTCAAGCCCGAAAGGGCAACAGAGTCGCGTGACAGACACAGTGATAAAGCTGGTCTCTCTCGCGCTCTCTCTGTCTCACACACACACACACACACACACACACA